AACTAACATTTATTGTACACTTATAATGTGGCAGGCACTGTTCTAAGAACTTTACCTGTGTTAACTTATTTACTACAAACTCTTTGAGGTAAATACTATTATTATTCCCCATTTTATAGATGAGGAAACTGAGGCACAGAGAAATTTGAGGCCAAAGATCACAAAGGTGCCAGAGCCAGGATTAGAACCCAAGCAGTCTGACCCCAAAGCAGAGTTAGCATTTGATTATTAGTATTTGGTTGCTCAGAATTGGTATTCTGAGGAAACCACCTGATACCTGAGGGTCTTTCTGGAATGTATTTTAATGACCTAACATGAGGTGGCAAACTCACTACCCCTTCCTGCGACTTTGGCAGACATCGTTAATAGATCGTGGCCCTCCAGGGGGGTCTCAGAACCCTTTGTAACACTGCAGGCCTTACCACCATTTGGAGTTGACGTGTGAGAACCCTGCTACTCCTCACATAAAATAGACAACTGACTAAAAGAGACCTAGAGACAGCTACCAATCCCCGCCCTTGCTTTACTTCCCGGTTAAATGAGAAAACCCGCCTGGAACTCTCTCATGGACAATCTTTGATTAGTGACTGCTATGCTATTGGAGCCCAGCTAGAGATGTGCTGCCTCATTAATGATGACCGATGCTCTTACCCCTCCTATCAGCTGCTCACGTGGGGGATACTGCTCCCTCGACATCCACAGAAGGGCACTAAACGGCATTTCGGTACAAACAGGGGAAAAGCGGTCAGCGGTCCATGGGTGCCACATTTTCCCAGGGCATTATTCCAGTGATCAGACCAAACCTCCTGTCAATATCAACATATTTTGTTTGTTTATTTTCTATCATTGGCTCATAGCTCTATCACACATTTTAACCTATTCACAGCCTCAGAGCCAGGAAAACATTTGCATGGTGTGTGAAAGAGTCTCTGGATACAAAATCAACTTTGTCTCTCCACAATTTGAGGAAGTTAAGAAGAATCTCTGCCCTAAAATTATGTCCTCTTATGATATCAAAAATTCCAGTTGTCAGCCATTCATAGTGGAAAATCATAGCACAAAGGAAAAGAGTCCAGCTTTGGCATCAGACAGATGAACCTTGGCTCTGCCATTTTCCTCTGTTATTGTGGGCATAGCATCTATGAAATGGGGGACAATAATCACTTCTTGTGAGGTTGTTTCCATGAGGGAAGACAATGTATATGAATCCTTGGCACAGTGCCTGACACAAAGTAGGTAACCTGTTATCAATATTATTATTACTATTACCTCTATTGCTAAGCATTGCCATTTCTCTTGGCTCTCTCTCAAAATGTCACTGCTTCTCTTTCCTCTTTGGGGTGAGGGCAGGACGGATAGCACAAATCCCTTCAGCAGGAAGGACACTTCCAGAGAGGCGATGGGTTGCCAGAAAGGCACTTGGCTTGTTTCACAACTTTGTCTAAGGCTCATCCCAAATTAGTTAACATTCCCCACACAGTAGTTCTGCCTCTTCCAAGTGACATACTGAAACAAAAATCCTTTTTAAAAATACCTCAGTTTGTCCAAATGTAAAAAGGCTACTATAAGTAGCAGTGCAATGAGGTAAACACTGTATGAAGACAAAAATGTGACATAATTTTTTAAACCTCTAACCACCCTGCCTACACCTGCCAACAACCTGAGATGATAGCTGAGAGCACCTGGGAGACCATCTCCAGGCATTTCCTGCCACCTCGTTCCTCTTTTACAGAGATAAATAAAGGACTACTGGGTTCATACCTCACTTGAAAGTTCAAATCATAATCACTTGCTTTTAGATCATCTCCTTGTTCATTTATAGAGTTGGGGAATGTTGGCAGGTTCCAAACAGGGAAACGGGTTATTAGGCAACATACCTATCAAACAGCTACGAGTTTATAGTCCCTGGGGCACAGTTACTAGAGAAACATGGCAAGGACTGGAAATGTCTTTGCCTGCCAAGGTTACACACAACGCGGCCTCATAAATATGCGAGAAATAAAACAACTAGGCCACACAAATATTTTATTGGCAGGTTTTCGCAGATCACTGATGAAATCTATACTTTCTCATCCCACAACATCAGGGTCACATCAACTCACTAAACAGCACCAGTAAATTTCCATGATATCGAGTCAAGGAGCAGAGTTTCTAGAAGCGGTATAAGGGTGTCTCCCACTGAAATTACAGTGCACCTCCATAGACCAAAGCCCAGTTGCTGACCTGTTAGTCTGTAAAAATTTCTTGATCTCTAAGGACTCACTGAAATCCCCGGGTCTGGATTAGAAAATGCGTGGAGCATTCTGAAAAGGCAAAAGAAGTTGAGTAGCTATTTGCTTACAGACTAACTCATCCATCTAGAGATTGATCTCTGCCAAATTCCCCGTGATACAGTGACTCTGTTATTTATGAGGAGCTGTGGCATTGTGTTTCAGAAATTACCAGCCAGTCAGCACTGATGGGTATGTATTTTTCTTGCTCACTCAGTGTCAAGACACATATATAACAAATTCTGAGGAACTTCATCTCTTTCAGTTAGAGTCAGAATAACTGCTGACTCAATGATTTGCCATAAAATCTATTCCTGGATAAAAGGGAGGACCACCCTCTACAGAAAAGAAGTATTCCAATACCTCAGCTTTTCCAACAAGAACAAAGAGGTACCAATGAGAAACAAAATAAGAAGCCGCATGGCATGACTGAAAATTTTCTAAATAGTTTATACTATTTTAAATTTGTTCCCAATGGAAAGATAGCAACAGATTAATTGCCCACACCTCCATTTGATAAAAAAATTTTCAAAACAAACTTATTTTACTTTTATGGCTGCAGATAGGAGTTATTAGCCATCTGCCTTTGGATTATTTAAACATTATATAAATAAACATTATTTTACAACCAGCAAACAGTTATTCACAGAATTGTACATTTATTCCCCAATAATTCTTCTTGGCCACTTTAATAAGGGCCTAAAGTTACCAGCATTTCAACTCTTTTTAAAATTCATTACCTACAATACTAAGAAAAACAGACAATAATACAGTATTTCATTGCAAATGAAGAAGGCCTCAAAGAGATTTTTAAAAAAAAACTTACTAGAAGCATCAATTACCTTCTTTTGAGGAAATGGTTAAGAGGAAAAAACGATAATCCAAATTGTAACTCACCCTGTTAAAGGAAATGAGGTGACCCAAAGAATCACCAGGTGACAGTTCCACTAACTAATGCTCTTACAGAGCAAGTATCCTCCTGCATAATAACAGAACATGGACAAACAAATTAACATTTTACTTCCTACTTCTTCAAAACACAGAAATAAGTATGCCTCCAGAATCAGACGATATATCATATTATATAGATAAATAGACAGTTCTTTGCTATGTACAGCAGGGAATAGAGGAAAATAGGGGTAAACGGAGGTAGAGAAACAAGGCATAAGATCTCCCGAAGAGAGGATGTTTTGACCCAAATTTATTAAAATTAGAGAAACATGTTAAAGAACAGAAGTCAGAATAAACCAGCCAAAGAAAAATCTACATTGAAGACAAACTCTGATGTGCACTCGAAACTGAAGAGGAGAGCGCAACAGAGAGAGAACTCTGGAGACCGCGAGGGCCGTCAAGTCTTCAGCTGAGTACTGACCAGGGCATGCATGCGGGGAACTACAAGACCAGGGAAAGAACCATCATAGGGACAGGAGGTGAGAGGGGCCAGCACCCACACAAGGCGAGGAGCAGTGCCCATTCACGACACCCAGACTGGAAACCTCACGACGCACAGGGCAGTAAGTTAAGCACACAGAAGGGTGTTTCATCAGTAGTGGGGCTAATTAGCCCCAGATGAGCATGTCCCAGCTGGGCCTAACAAATCTTAAAAGCAAGAATGGAAAGAATCAAACTGTTTACAAGGAACGTAACTGTGTCTCAGTAAAAAGGGTCAAGACCATTTATACGAAAAAAAATTCCAGCATCCAACAAAGTAAAATTCACGATGTCTGGCATTCGATCAAAATTGCCAGGACTATAGAGAAACTGGAAAATACGACCCATCATTAGGAGAAAAACTCATCAATTGAGAGTAATGCAGAACTGACACAGAATAAGCAGACAAGAACTTTAAAAAAGTTATTATAACTATTTTCTATATGTTCAAAATGTTAAGCAAAGACATGGAAGATATAAAAATGATGCAAATCAAACTTCTAAATTGAAAATTACAATGTATAATATGAGAAATGTATTAGATGGGATTAATAGCAGATTAGATATTGTAGAATAAAAGTCTGGTGAACTTGAAAGACAGAGAGAAAAGAGAATTTTTTTTTTTTGAGGAAGATTGGCCCTGCTCTAATATCTGTTGCCAATCTTCCTCTTTTTCTTTTTTCTCCCCAAAGCCCCAGTAGACAGTTGTATGTCATAGTTATGCATCCTTCCAGTTGCTCTATGTGGGACGCCACCTCAGCATGGCTTGATGAGTGGTAAGTAGGTCCACACCCAGGATCTGAACCCCAGGCTGCCAAAGCAGAGTGGGCAAACTTAGCCGCTACACCACCAGACTGGCCCTGAGAATTTTAAAAAATGAATAGAGCATCAGTGAGCTACAGTAAAAACTTGAAGTACATTATACATGTGTAATTAGAGTCCCCAAAGGAAGAAAAGGGCAATAAAAAATATTTGAATAAATGATGGTTGAAAATTTTTGAAATTTGATAAAAATGATAAACTCACACATCTAAGAATACCAATGAACCCCAAGCACAAGAAACATGAAGAAAGCTACACTAAACCACATTGCAATCAAATTGTCAAAACTAGTAATAAAGAAAACTCTAAAAGCAGTCAGAGAAAGACATGTTATGTAGAGGAACAATGATGATGGGAGATATCTCAACGGGAATAAGCAAATGAAAACATAGTGAAGCAACATCTTTAAAATACTAAAAGACAAAAGGCAGACAATAACAAGTGATGGCAAGGAAATTGGAAGCCTGATACATTACTGGTAAGAATGTCAAATGGTGCAGTCATTTGGAAAAACATTTGTGAGTTCCTCAAAAAGTTAAACATAAAGTTACTATATGACCTAGTAATTCCACTCCTAGGTATATATCCAGGAGAAATGAAAACATGTGTCCACACAAAAACTTGTACATGAATGTTCATAGCAGGATTATTCACAATAGCCAAAAAGTGGAAACAACCCAATAGTCAACCAACTAATGAATGGATAAACAAAATGTAATGTATCCATACAATGGAAAATTACTTGGCTATAAAAAGGAATGAAATACTGACATATGCTGCAACATGGATGAACCTTGAAAACAAAGTCAGATACAAAAATTCACGTACTGTATGATTCCATTTATATGAAATGTCCAGAATAGGCAAATCCATAGACAGAAAGTATATTAGTGGTTGCCAGGGTCTGGGGGAAGGTGAGCATGGGGAGTGACTGCTAATGGGTATGAAGTTTCTTTTGGGGGTGATCAAAATGTTCTGGAAATAGATAGTGTTGAGGGATGCATAACACTGTAAAAACCCCTGACTCTACACTTTAAAACGGTGAACCTTTTGGTATGTGAATTATGTATCAACAAAGCTGCCAAAATAAATGATAGAAATACATTGTGGAAAATATCTAGAAGATGTTATAAATGATATGCTGTGTACAAATACTATGCTTAAAAAATAAACTGCAAAGAAATTTTTAAAAATGCAAATGGTCAAAATAACCCAATTAAAAGACAGAGATTATAATATTGGAAAAAAAGGAAGACCCAAACATACGCTGCCTACAAGAAACAAAATTTAAATATAAAGACACAAATAGATTAAAATGTTAGAAAAGATACACCATACTAACACTGATCAAAAGAAAGCCAAAGTGGTTATATTAGTAACAGAAAAAATAGAATTCAGAGCAAAGAGCATTACCAGGGATAATAATGTTATTTCATAATAATTAAGAGATTAATTTTTAAAGAGGATATAATAATCCTAGACACTTATGCACCTAATAACAAAGCTTCAAAATATGTGAAGCAAAAAGGATAGAGTACGAGAGCAAGAGACAAATCCACAATTGTTGTTGGAGATTTTAATATACTTCTGTGGTGGGCAGAATTCTAAAAGCACCCCCCAAATTCTCATCCTCTGCTATACATGCCCTGTATAATCCTTTGGCAGAATGTAATTTCACTCCCACGATTAAGTTATGTTATACAGCAAAAGTGAAGAAATTTTGCAGATGCGATTAAGGTCACTTATCCATTAACTTTGAGTTAATTAATAGAGAGATTATCCTAGGAGGGTCTGACCTCATCAGGTAGGACCATTAAAGTAGAGTCTAGTGATTAGAGATGGAAGAAGTCAGAGACTCTGTGTTACTGGCCTTGAAAAAAAACAGGCTACCATGAGTTCTACAGATGCAACGTAGTGAATTTTGCAAATAACCACACGAGCTTAGAAGAGGCTCCCAAGCCTCAGATGAGACCACAGCCCCAGCTGATATCTTGATTGCAGTCTTCTGAGACCCTGAGCAAAGAATTCAGGCAAGCCATCCCCAGATTCCTGACTCATGGAAACTATGCTGCTTTAAGCCCAATTTGTGGTAATTTGTTATGCAGCAATAGAAAACTAATATGCCCTCTTTCAACAAGTAAAGAAGATATAGACAGAAAGTCAGTAAGAGTATAAAAGATTTGAACGACACTATTAACCAAATTGACCTCACTGACATTTATATAGCACCTCACCAGACAAGAGCAGAATATGCATTCTTCTTAAGTGTGCAAGGAATACTTACCAACATAGACCACATACTAGGCTATAATACAAATCTCAATAAATTTCAAAGGATTCAAGTCATATAAAATATGTCCTATGATCACAATAGAATTAAGTTAAAAATTAATAACAGAAAGATCTTTAGAAAATTCCCCAATATTAGGAAACTAAGTAACATACTAAATAACCCATGAGTCAAAGAAAAAATTAAGAGGGAAATGACACTGCCAGAATATTGTAAAACACCACAAAGACTGAGCAATGATAGCTTCACAAAGTTTTAGAAAATGAACAACCAAATGTAGACTTAATTATTGTATTTAAATATTTTAAAATGCAATGACTAGAGAAGATAATGAGCTTCTATTGCAGGAACAGAAACAGGATTGTTATATATCAAATATTTTTCCTATAAGCTGACAAAAAGAAGCTGTCTCATAACCTGATGGCAATGAAAGACAGAAGATGAATCATTGCTTGTGGAAACCAATTTATTTAGTCACTTCGAACTGCTGTTATTTATTACTTGTCAGCACATGCTGTTAGTTCAATTAAATATAAAAATCTGAAGCTCTCTTTTCTTCCCCACTTCCATCTTTAAAAAACAATGATACAAATTTAAAACATTACAGGACCATTTTAAGTTTATTGTTTTCTATTATTTTACTTAGGAGTTGTTTATTAAACATTCTGCAAAAAAGGAAAGGTTATTCACTGCTTTGACTAGTTAAATTTAAATGTTTACAGGGACTAGATATACAAATGTAATTTGGGAGCTCTCCTTACAGGATAATACAAACACAAAAATTTAAACCAAGGCACTAGGAGAAAGTGTTCATTGCGATACTGCACTGAACTGTGAGGAAGCTGGATACAGTAAACTTGGTAATAAAAAGGTTGATTTCTTGGCTGTAGTATAATTGAACTCTTTCAGATAAGTTATAATACTCATACTTGTTACATACAAAGTATCTGATATTTTGCTTTGACCATACCCCAGGGTTCTCATCATTTAACGTCAATCAACCATACAAAAATCTTGTTCATAGAGAGTACCAGACATATAGGGGCACATGTTGCCATGGAAAATGATATTTGCAGAATCTGTCAAGAGAATACGATTAAGCAAGGTATGTTAAGTAAACGTGCCACGTACCCCTGCCAAGCATAAAAGCCTGTTACCTCTAATTATGTACCTCATTGAGATTATACCTTTCAAGTGTCAAACAAAGCCCACTAGTTCTGGGGCTAATTTCAGCTTTCAGTGACAAACATATCTTATGCTTTAAATGACATTATATGGCCATCTACCACGGAGTACACAAGTCTGTTTTCTTTATTCTACTGTTTCAGTGAACAGAAATTACATATTTTCTGGCAAATTTAAAGAGTTTGGCTGCAGCTAGGACTCAAAGCGAATGTAAGTGGATATAACAGGGAGTTTTCAATAGTTGCCTAAGATGATGCCTCATTTATCCAATAAACCAAGAAAAGAGGCTCTTCTTACACCAAAACATCTTGGTTTTTTACACATTTTTACAACAAAGCTTATTTGCACACAATTGCACATGAACCCCATTTCTTGCAGACTCAGATTCATCATTAGAAACATCAGTTATAGTGTATCACAATTGTAGTGTGATACGTAAAGCAAACAAAACTCCTGAACAGGACACTATTTGCCCCTGCACTCAACAGTCTCCAAGGACCACATAACCAGAGCTCTTTCTCTTCTTTTGCTGAGAGCTGGCATTTCTCCCTGTTGTATTGCTTCCTCCTCACATCTCCCAGCACTCCCCCTACCCCCATTCTCTGAGCTTGAAGAATCAGCAACCCCTGTTAATCACAATTCTAGGATATTGACAATGTGTGATTTCTGGAATATATGTCTTAGATCTTGATATCTTATGGCTATCAACCCTATGATTTTCATATTTGTGCAAATGTTTTTCCTCCAGACTATTGTTTGCCTTTTATCTTTTTACTCTTTATACTCCTGTCAACAATGACAGTGTGTTTGTGTATGTGCGTGTTTGTATTGCTAATTTCATCAACAGATAATGATTTTAAATATTGGAGAACAAGGCAAAACAGCTAATAGATTACATCTGTATAAAGTCATGCAGCACTTAACGACAGGGATACGTTCTGAGAAATGCACCATTATGCAATTTCATCACTGTGGTAACATCATAGATGGTACTTACACAAACCCATATGGTATAGCGCACTGCACACCTAGGCTATATGGTACAGCCTATTGCTCTTGGGCTACAAACCTGTACAGCATGTTACTGTATTGAATACTGTAGGCAATTGCAACACAATGGTATTTATGTATCTACATATAGAAAAGATACAGTAAAAATATGGTATAGAAGATAAAAAATGATACAGCTGTATAGGACACTTACCATGAATGGACCTTGCAGGACTGAAAGTTGCTCTGGTGAGTGAGTGAGTGAGCAGTGAGTGAATGTGAAGGCCTGGACATTATTGTACACTACTGTAGACTTTATAATCACTGTATACTTAGGCTACACTAAATTTATAAAAAAATATTTTTCTTTCTTCAACAATTAATCTTAGCTTACTGTAACTTGTTTACTTTATAAATTTTTAATTTTTTGACCCTTGTAATGACACTAGCTTAAAACACAAACACATTGTATAGCTGTACAAAAATGTTTTCTTTCTTTATATCCTTATTCTATAAGCTTTTTTCTATTTAAAAAAAATTTTTTTTTTTACCTTTTAAACTTTTTTGTTAAAAACTAAGCCACAAACACATGCACATTACCTTAGGCCCACACAGGCTCAGGATCATCAATATCCCTGTCTTCCACCTCCACATCTTGTCCCACTAGAAGGTTCTTCAGGGGCAATGACAAGCATGGAGCTGTCATCTCCTATGATAACAATGCCTTCTTCTGGAATACCTCCTGAAGGACCTGCCTGAGGCTCTACTCGAGGAGGCGTCACTCTTTTCAGGAATATGTCCACAGTGGCTTGCTTGGTTTGTTTCTTTTTTTTTTTTTATCATAGATTTGCTTGTAAGCAGATAACGTACTATAAACATTCCTCTCTATTAATGAAAACCTTTCAGTGTTGGGGTCCATGTTTTCAAACTTTTTAAGGAGCTTGTTGAGGTCTGCAAACGCTTCTGCTAAACCCTTCACTGTGAATTTTCTTGGGGGTTCTTCTTCTTTTTCTTCTCCTGCAGTTTCCTTTTCTCTTGCCTCTTCTTCAGCTGTGTGTTCCTGTTCCACTTCCAACAGTTCCTCA